GAATTGAATAGAAATAAGGAAGAACGAGAAGGGGAGAAATCACTGACCACCAGAATTCTTGAACGCTGTCGAAGGTATAGACCTTGCGAAGAGAGGATCCCCAAGCAGCACCTTGCTTAGGTTTCGATTGATTATCGAACCAGAAAGTCCATTGCCTTTCTAGTTTATTTTTGGAACCAATCTCCGGCTCCGGCGCCGCCGTAGGAACCGCCACAACTTCAACTGCTGCTACTTCTTCGGTTGCCATCGTTTTTTGTTTCTTCTTTTTTTCTCTGGCGTTTCTCTCTTGCCTCTGAAGAAGGAAAATGGAGCCGGGTTCGTAGGTTATGTTATGTTACTACTTTGTGGGCTTTATTTTCGGGGCATTAGGCCCTAATTTACTACCAAATTTGAAAACCAAAATGAAGAGAGAAAAATGAATTGAAATGAATGATGAATAATATAATAATTGTATATAAATATTTATAAGGGTTTGCTAACATGAATAATTCTATTTTTTAGTTAGGTACATGTTAGTATTGAGTATCATAAAAGTTGGACAAAAAATACACTTAATGTCATATTAAAATTAGTAGTAATGATAAGGGTATTTTGGTAAGTTGATATTCTAAAAATAAAAATAAGAATTTATTCTTTTCTCTCTTCTCTCACTCACCATCTCAAACATTCAAACTCATTTCTTCGATCCAACTAAGAACATTAATCCCCAATTTTTTCAATCCCAATTTTTCACTATCTCCCACCTTCTACGATGTGAATAAATAGTAGGCGCTTTAAGTTGTTGTTGCAATATGTAATGATTAGAGTTTCCAAGACAAAATGGAAATATATGTATAAATAAATAAACGATTATAAAAACGATAGAGAAATGAGTGACTATTATAAGTCAAATACTTTAATTAGTCAGTTTGAAACTTTATCTGGAAACAATAACCAATATGATAGTGATGGAAATGAGTTATATATGGATATAATGTTAATTATATAGTTTGCATAATGGAATGTTGAATTATGTCGACTTTTGTTGTAAGGGTTGTATTTGTGTAAAGAAATTCCTTTAAAAAATGTAGAAGGAAATGAAAGAAATGTTAGAATTGTAGAAGGTGGGAGATGAATGGAAAATTGAAATGGAAATAATTGGGGATTAGGGTTCTTAGTTGGATTGAAGAAATGAGTTTGATTGTTTGAGATGGTGAGTGGGTGGAGAGAGAAAATAATAAATTCTTATTTTTAATTTTTAGAATAACAACTTGTCAAAACACCATTATCATTACTACTCATTTCAATATGATATTAAAGATATTTTTTGTCCAACTCCAATCGATCGGCCTCATCTTTTCGGAAGAATTACCATAGGTGTCTCCGGCTGGAAAGGGTTTTTTGAAGAGGGTATCGCACTTCCGTTCCTCTTCCTCTTCCGAATCTGAATCCTCTTCCTCATCCTCTTCCGAATCCGAGCGCAGAACATATCAAATTAAGTTAGCCAAGCCCAAGAGCTGATACCACACTCGTTGAACCCGAAATGCTCACTAAAGCAAGCAAGACGTGGGATCTTACTATACGATCGACCTCTTATTTCCCGAAGCTGGAAGAGAACCTGCCTTAAGAAAGCAAACTCTTCAAGATTTATATGGGCTTAGAGTTAGCTAGACTCAATGATAAACCGAGTATCGTTCTCTAGACGTACACAGGGTCTGGTTAGGGTTTGTGGGAGGCTGGCGAGTCCCGTCTTCGACCTCCACTCAACCTCGGCAGTCAGAGTATTAGTAGGAATTGCAAGTATGGGTAGCTACGTCATCTCTTTGGTATGCTCATCTCATACCGTCTCATGTCGGTCGTGATGGACTTTGAGACCTACCCTAAACTCTTTGAGGTGCTCAGGCTTCTCCTAAACTGAGCTCATCTTCTTCATTGGCACCGAAAAGAGAGATCGTCCAATGGCATCATAGAAGATAGTTAGACTTAACCCCATGAACTGAAGGAAGGCAACTAAGAAAATCAATCATTCCTCTCGCAAAGCTGTACCGATTTCATACCTTAGCCCTAACTAGCTGCTCTCGCTCTTCAAACCTCTCTTCCTTTAGCTGTAGGCTTGAACTCAATCCCTGTAACGAAGTAAGAGATGCCTTCTCGTGGTAATACCCTTTCCTTTCTTCCGGTCGAGCATCTTCAAACCAAAGCTATAAGCTACGGTATCGAATGACTTTCTATTCTATTCAAAAGCAGTAGCTTGTTCGGTCGAGATACATAGTAGCATCTCCTTTACTTTACAGTCGAGTAAGTAGATGCCTTGACTTTAATCTTTTTGATTAGGGTAGGTTTAGGAGAGAGCGGAGCTAAAGCCCTGCCATAGTAGCGAGTCTGTTTATAGTCATATGATGGGAAAAGTACCAGTATCGATGCTAAGAATTGGCAAGTAAGCCCAGAATGAAGAAGTCTTAACTAAGGCCGAAAGCCAATCCTAGGGAAGAGTTCTTTGAGGCAAGAAGAGAAGCAAGGTACGAAGTTCTCGACTGTAAAGGAGAGGGACAACGAGGAATTGAAGACAGACTGACTGTCGTAGAAGACCGGTATAAGCAGTTCAAAAGAAATGCTCCCAAAAGGAGTGACTTCTTGTATGATTAAATAATGCAATATAAGTTGTATATATGATATTTGGAATAAATGACTAACATTTTGTTATATGGTAGGGATGATGACAGATCCTAAAGTTGGCGGCGGTGTCGGTGGAACTTGTGAAGTTGCCAAGAACCAAACCCAACACTCACCGAAGTAAGGATAAGTCATTAATTGTGCATTTGGAATGGAAAATGTGTGTATTTTCTGGTCATGCAATGATTGAGTTGTGAATTACGCATTTAATATAAACATATATGGGTGTGTTTATACTAAAGTAGGCGTAGATTTATGGGAAATGAAAGATGTGTGTATTTTCTGGTTATGCAATGATTGAGTTGTGAATTATGCATTTAGAATAAACATATATGGGTGTGTTTATATTAAAGTGTGCGTAGATTTACGGGAAATGAGAAATGGTGAAATCAAAGAAAGGAAAATATATTTTTAGCCGACCATGAATGGTTAGCGACTTTGGCTTGAGTATATAAGCGAAACTCTGGCTTGAGTATAAAAGCGAAACTCTGGCTTGAGTATATAAGCGAAACTCTAGCTTGAGTATATAAGCGAAACTCTGGCTTGATTATATAAGCGAAACTCTGGTTTGAGTATATAAGCGAAACTCTGGCTTGAGTATATAAGCGAAACTCTGGCTTGAGTATATAAGCGAAACTCTGGCTTGAGTATATAAGCGAAACTCTGGCTTAAGTATATAAGCTAAACTCTGGCTTGAGTATATAAGCGAAACTTTGGCTTGAGTATATAAGCAAAACTCCGGCTTGAGTATATGTAGCACGTTTTCTTTTTAAAAAAATGAGAATATGCTTTTAGCTAACCTTAAGGGGTGTAGCGACTTTGGCTCAAGTCATGTAGCAAAGAAAATGAATTTCAAAATGGTTTACTAACCCTTTCTAATGTGAATTATCTTATAATGACGTTTATTGAATTATTGACTTACTCATTTGTGTGTTTTGTGCTTTGTCATTGATAATCTCATTGCAGATAAACAGGTGATATGAGGGGGACTCATTTTTGGAAGCTTTAGGAGCTTTATATTTTGGATTCATTTATTTGTACTATTTTGTACATGAGTGCATATTTGATAGTTTAAAGCATTATGTAACTACGGATATATTAACTTACTTGGTTTTGTAACTATGGATATTTGTAGCTATGGGTATTTTAGAAACTCATAGCTAGTTGTATGCGGTGGTTACTGAATTATATTTATATGAATTATGATTTTCTGCTAAGTAGAATGTATACGAATATGAAGATATGGAATGAGTATGAATAGGTAAATAGAATTAAAATGAAAAATGTATGTGAAAAAAATAAATAAGGGAAAAAATTTCAAGGGTAGAATTTTGATCCTTACAAGATGATGTTCATGTTCTTAGCTCGAGCAACATAGTAAGCAAAGCTTTAGGATTGGAAAAGCTCTCCCGATAGTCTAAGGTTTGAAAACCTTGGTATACTCTACTTCAAGGCCCAAGAAATGCCTTAACTCACCAAGTTCCTTCATCTGGAAGCGTACCGATAGATTAGTCTTCGTTTAAGCAATCTCATTTTCATCATCTCCAGTGATGAAAAGGAGATTGGCTTTGGGCCAAGCCAATTAGCTCCATAGGTGTCTCTGGAAGAATTACCATAGGTGCAAATGATCTATCTACAAAAGCAAATCCTATATATATATATAACACTTAATTGAGAATACTACTTTTGATACAAAATGTTCCACTACCAATGTCATAGTTTAATGGACTTATGGAATTTGAAAAAAAATTTATATTTTTTGTTTGTACTAATCATTTCACTTGTTGGTAAGTAACTAATCACTATCAAGATGTGTGAATATTCATCCCAACAAGTGTCAATCATAGAAATCAAACATTTAATTTTTTTTTACTCATTCTTTGAATCTAACATATTCTTATATCATTTGATCAAACATATTGTTTGGTAATAATAAATTGCTATCCTATAACAATTTTCAAAATTCATATCCATTAACTATTTGATCATATTTACAGTGTGTCTTATCTAATCCAAACAAAATTCATACATATTTATCTAACAACAAAACAATTTTTATATACAGGCCAATAATCTAATATATGACATTATGCTTCGGGAATCGGGTTATATACAAATTTAAAAAGAATGTAAAATAACTCATTTTAATATATTTCAAAGCAAAATCATACTTGATGATATAATTTCTTCAGGTGAAAATGATTGATTCAAAAAAAATTATTGCATAGTTTGTTCTCAATTCTCACCAAAAACTAACCCGGCCCAAATTCGAATTGTATCGTTTATTCTCACTTCTTACCAAAACCCTAGTTCAACCCTCTTATATATATACTCAAACAAAAACGCAATTGCATTCGTTGTTACGCAGCAACAGAAAATGTCGAAGCATACTTACGCCTTGTTCTTGAACTCGGTGATTCTAACTTTGTTTGTTTCAATACACTTTGATGAAAAAATCAATGTTTATTTTTCGTTTGCTATGTGTTTAGATGTTTTAATTGCCATAAATTTGTTCTCTTAAGAATTAAAATTTCACACATTTTTACATCTGGTAGTTTTCATCATAAACACGAGTTTATAGTATAGTAATCCCTTTCAGTTCTTCAGTGAAAATGGCTGGTAATGTAGTGTAGAGATTATATATTTAATGGTTTCTCTGCACCTCCCATGACCAGCGATATCACTATTCCAATCATCTCTGTCAAGGTTGGAACATTTTGGTTTTGATTCTTCATTGATTTTAATACTTACTTTCAATTTGTAACTAGACTAACTGTTATAACAATCCTTTTAAGTTTGTCTTATATCATTTTATTTTTATCAATTTTTGGGTGCTCTAGTAGTTCATTACTGTCCTCAGACACTAGTCAGGTATCCTCTTTAACATACTATGGTTGATACAGTTACGAGTCTGGAAAATTAACGTTGTCCTTCGTTACAGATGTTGTAATGTTCAGTGCTCACATCTGCTCCATTAGGACAATACATTTGTAGCGCATGATCACTCTTTACTCTTTGTTTTAATTAAAATGTCTAGGATTCTATAAATCTTCGTTTCTGTATTCATTAAAATGTAATATTGATATAAACTATACATTTATTCTTCACTTCATACATTTTCCTTCGAAAACCTTTTATTTTTCATGAACTTCAAACTATACTTGTATTCATTAAGACCTTTTGTTGGTTGATATATTAAAATAGAAATGATGTTATAAAGGGTATGCTGTGACTTATTGCTTAATAGTCAAAATGGTTCCTCTGACTTGGTTTAAAATGGTCTAAAATTTAATTCAGTGGTGCAAAAAATGTTAATTAAGAGTAGTAATATACAATTTTTTTAAAACACACCTGTGCCAGTTCCTGGTAATGGTATTGATAATACTAAAGGAAAGGGGTAATGAAGAAGAATGGGGGTATGAAAGATGAAGGGGGGAGGAGAGAATATGTTAGTGAATAATACAAATGTCATTTTTCTCTAACATGGCATATTCTTCAACAAAATATCTAAACCAAACTCAAGTGGAGTAACTAAGTTTCTACCTGTATTGATTTAATTAATCAAACCCCAATTATATAGATCAGGTTTAGTCTTGCTCACATAATCAGGTTTACCCAAATCTACATGAATGACTTTACCTTATACTACATTAGAGTGAAAAAGGCCCACTCTATTCCCTTCAGCAATAGTGGCATTACCCCACACAAGGACTTATACAAGGTGTTTATGGCTACAAAGCTGTGACACAAACTTATATTGATTTGATTGGTAATTGTGACTTTGGGTTATTTGCACCATGAGATGAAAATTTAATTTTCCATTCCAAATTTTATCTTGATTTAATTTAACTAGCTGAGATTAAAAACTATTCCCTACAATTTTTCAGTCAATGATGTAGATTAACCAAATCAATTGCCATGTAAAAAAAAATTATAGGCGAAGTTTTTAAAGATGAGGGAAAAATTGTGCAACTGTTGTTACATTCCTTTCCTCAACCAATATAGACTCCAAATTACAACCTATGTTCTCAACTTCTGGTTTCCAAGAAAGTCAATTGAGAAAATTATGCAAAAAGGATTGTTGACCAAAATATAAAGAATGAAAAATTTCTGGCATAATTAATGTTAATGTACTATACACTAAAACAATAATAATAACTAGACTCTATTCATCATTCATTTGTATTACTTTAGTTTAATAATGTATAAAAAAAAAATTATACTGTCAGTGCATAAAGTTTTTGTCGTTGAAATCAAATCATACAATTGCTTTGATCTTACTTCCTTTTCTTTGTGCATTTGACTAAATGATTCAAAACCCATGAAAATTAAGCAAAACCTTTAAAATATCTGAATTACCATAAGAAGCTGATATAAGCTTATGAAACTCATAAAGTTGAGACTTTTTTAATAATGGGTATCACAAAAAGACAACAAAAAATTAACCCCATGCAGACCAGAGAAACAAATTAAAGAAAGATTGATTTTCTTTACAATTTTTCCTACTAAGAAACAATACTTGGGAAGTGGAAGAAGAGGAAGAGGAGGAGTTGAGAGAATCAGCAAAGAGGCGAGAAATCTAGTCTTTGAAATATGCTCACTGTGAGTTATTAGTTGTGATATATGAGGTATTCCATGAATGCTTATAATTCTACACATAGATATATGCTTAACTCATTTACTTGGGTTGGGATCCTCTCCAGTACTGGACCCTCCAGTATTGGAATGTGAGGCCCAGATTGTTTCAAAAATTAAAAAAAAGAATTAATTAAAAATAACTTAAAATTTATACTATTAAAAAATGTGAAAGGCCACATGTCATCATCTCAACTTCTACTGGACTCTCTAGTACAGGAGAGGATTCGTGTTCCACTTACTCACCTAATACCAAATTTCAAATAACTAATTCTTTTATAAAACAAGTCTTATAATATTGTTATAAAAATTGACCAATGAAATGATGGAAATGAATACTATTTTAAATTGTAACCATAGTTATTAGTTTGATTGTGGTTCATTCTTGAAATGGAGATTAAGATCGTTTAGGTTAAATCCTTTATAATTAAAAACATATTTTTGAATATGATATATACGATGATGTCTAATATGACTCAAATGCAATCCAATATAATATAGTTACATTATGCCCTAATATAAATGTATAATTATAATTGAACGCCACACTGCAATTGTGACTATATCACATGATACAGTCCACCATTTTGAAACAATGGAAGTAAGAATTGTGGGACAAGTACTTGAAAAAACTGACTAACATTTAATGCAAGTTTTAGTGAACCATGCTGCCAGTTTCACCATTGACTTGTTGGTTAGGATCATTTCTTCCTTCTGTGAAGTTCTTGGTTCGAAACTAGCAAAGAGAACAGGAAAAAGCGAACTCATTTCACAATGAGGTATTTTAAAATACCTCTCTTTTTTTGGAAGTATTATTTATGTTAATGTTTGGAAGCTAAGAAATTTTGAGCCAAGCCTCTCAAGGTCGGCCAAAGACCAGACAACTCACGGCCTTATGATGTGATCCGATCAACCTGACAATACAGGGAGATATGTGGTTGATCGGACACCATTGTATAAACCAGTAATGAGATCACATATCTGTCGTTCACCTGTCACACAGCAAATACAAGACTACCATGCTAACTGCAACAAACATTTGATACATGTCACCTGCAATTCTCACCTAACTTACCAATATACTATAAAGACAAACCTAGAATAGGTGTACGACTATTGAGCTCACTATAGGCTATAAGTCAACTATCCATATAGTCCAACCTCCCTAGAGTCAAATAGTGAAAACAACCCCTATTTGTCCAGGTCAGGCTGACAAGCACAAACAGTCTGTCATGTCAACAACATCTATCAGAGAATATTTCATGCATCTTTCCGCTATAAATAGGGGACGCACCTTATAAGGAAGTATCACTATTCTCATATCTTGAACCCTTATTATTGCTATTATTCTCTCTAATATTTCACTTCATCCATATACTGACTTGATCATCGTAGTACATTTTCATGTATCTCCACCGAGCTCAATTAGATCAACTTCAGGAAAATCTCTTGCTCAACGGATTATTCGGCCCACCTACCAACAAATTTTAGCAAAGTTTTATGATGAAGTAATTGTAATATTTTACTCTTACCATTCCAGTTTTTTTTCTTTGAGATGGACAAGTTCTTCTCTCAAATAGCTAAACTAACTCGTTGGTCATTCCTTTTGGTTGAATAGATTTGTATTGAATGTGGTACCAACACAAGATTGTTAGTTAATAATGCAAAAAAGTTTTATATTAATGGAATCCGTTTGTAAATATAGATTATATTGAATTATTGTGTACACTCAAGCCCATTTTGTGCACAAAAAGTATAGGCACTTTTTAATGTAATGCAACTATTTCCAACTTGCAATTTTTTTTTAGTTTTTTTAATTATTTAAGTAATTCTAATATTTTAATATTATGGTTGTAGTTTTGAGATGAATTCTTCTCTCAAGTACCTAAACCAATTAATTGGTCATTACTTTTGAATTCACTCTTTGAATACTAATTAGATGATTAAGATTTTGTCATGTTATTAGTTTGTGATGTTTAGAGGATTAATGAATTTGATCCATGTAAGAGATGTAGATAGATCAAGCGATGAAGTCTTATTTTCAAGAGTTAAGTGATTGGTGAAGCTATGTGATATTTAGTGTGAGTGTCTAATAAAAAAGAATAATTTTTTGGCTCTTTCTAGGCATAATGAACAAATAAAAGTCCTTGTAACTTTGTTGCCATGATAATCCTTATCCTCATTCACCATTGACTTATTAGAGTATTCTTCTTTAAAATCAAGAGAACTTAATTAACTTTCTTCAAATATCATCAACAATATAATTTTAAAAACTTTTTTTCGAAATAGTTACTACAACTCAAAGTAGACGAAATAAAATCTTTATTTGTCTATTCAAAATTGTACTTTACAAAAATACAACATCCTAACATAGTAGAAACGCAAATGTAGAGTTTAGATTTTATACTCTATATTGGAGTGATGCATTATTTTACTATGAGGACTATTTTTCATTTCCTTCAAATAGAAACATGATATTTTCCCTTAAAGTCACAAATTCCCCAAAATGTTATTAGAATAATAAGCACTTACGCATATATGTCAAATAATAATCACATTTAAGTCATTAATGTTTTCCAATGACAATATGCATGATTTTCTCCATCAATCTTTCATGTAACTACTCATTCTTTATCTAAGTGAATGTATGTCAATTAATATCTAGGCCTTAACAAATAATAGTAGTAATGATATCTTCTACATATATATTATGCTTCCCTCTCTCTCATGTCATAATATCTTGAAGGGATGTCATAAATATCATGTAAGGACAAGAAGTTATGTATCCTATTATCATATTAATCTTTGTCGGTGACATCTCTTAAGTAAGTTAAACAAAATAAAGTACCTTATTAAATTCTTAACATTCTAGTCTTCATATATCTTCCCGAAAACTACACCATTGACTCCAACATAGTAATATGACATGAGAGTCATACATAAACAAAAAGATGTACCCAATGAGAAAGATAAAATCATAAGTTGGCAACATTCACATTTCAAATATTTTAGTTACTATACTATTAGTTAAAACAACTTCAAAATCACCCTTATTGAACTAAAATGACAATTCTTAAGAGAAAGAAAGATCCACCAGATGTCTCTCAACATTTAATGTAGGCAACTTTCTGCTCAAATTGCACTTATAGGAAGAAAAAAACATTTTTTATTTCTTTAATAACATTATTTTAAATTGCGGTAATGATTATAATTACAATTCTAGACATTGTATAGTTGCTAAGATTTCAAAATTGATTGAGTGAGTAGAAACCATCAATTATACAAAAAACCACTCTATAATTGCTAAGACTCATAAAACCACAATATTATGATTGTGAAGTACAATTTAAAATATTACAAAGTAATTCGAGTGCAATATTCTTGAG